CTTGGGTCTCTCTGGAAGACCAGGGATGCAGCCAAGTCTTCTGGGTCTGCCTCCCCTTCGTTTTCGTGCCCCTGCTCAACTCACAACTGACTCCTCCCCACCCCCCAGATATGGTGTGGACAGGCTGGAGGAGCTGCTGGCCCCACTGCTGGGTGATGGGCTGAAGTGCGTGCTGATATTTGGCGTCCCGAGCTGGGCCACGATGGCGCGGCACCGAGCTGCGTCTCAGCCGTGGGTGGAGGCCGGGGCTGCTGAGCAGAGGGCCTCGCTTCTAGGCTCAGCCTCCGCAAGGCGGGCAGGAGGGCAGTTGCTTCCCCCGCCGCTCCGCAGGACGAGCGTGGCTCTGCGGCCGATGCCGAGGACGCGCCCGTCATCCAGGCCGTGCAGGCGATCTGCTCTTTGTTCCCGGGCTGCTGATTGCGTGTGATGTCTGCGGTGAGTGCTGCTGTGCTGAAGCCCTTGATGCGGGTTGGACAGCTGTGAGGGTCGTGTAATGCAAATGCCCTCCCTGCCTACAAGGCCGATGGCGTAAGCAGGCCTAGTGAAGCCTCGCTGAGGGACGGTGCACTGATGTTCTGTTCTCCCTCGTTCTCCCATGCATGCGCTTTTAGGTTTCACCCTCCAGCTATTCTTAGAATTGTTAGGGTTATTCGATTTTTATCCAGCCGTTTGCGTATATTCTTTCATCCAACTCAAGGTGTGAACATACTCCTGTCACCTATTTTCCCCACAACAACCACCCTATGAAGTGGGCTGGGCTGAGAGAGGGACCGGCCCAAAGTCACCCAGCCGGCTTTCCTGCCTAACAGAGGCCTGGAACTCCCAGTCTCCTGGTTTCCGGCACCTGAGCCTTTATGCCAAACTGGCTCTCATTTTTACTGTCTTAAGGACTAGAAGCTTGATATTCAGACGCCCAAATGGCCTAATAGCAGTCGTGTGTGTTTCTGGGAAAGGTGCCAACGCCTCCCTTTTGATCTGGGCGCAGAGCAACTGGAGGGCGTGGGAAGAAAGGGAGGAGTAGCTCTTCCTTTGCCTTGCAGGCCTCCTCCGGCAGGACGGCACCCTCCAGGAGGCTCGCCGAGGTGGCCCTGGCCTACGCCGAGGCAGGTGAGACTCTCCGGCTCTTTGCCGCGCTGCGCTTTTGGAGGAGCTGCTGGGAGCAAGCCAGGGCGGGCAGACCTGCACCGGTGGCTGCTTCGCTGGGCTGGGGACTGGCCTCTGCCGACCACGAGGCCCCCACCCCTGGGAAGACCCTTGGCCTCTCTTCTCCCCAGTTGCGGGGCTGACCCTTGCGTTGTGCGGCTGAGAGGGAGGAGCCCGGCTGGAGAAGCTGCCACCGCAGTTCACGCCTCCTGGCCCCTCGCCCAGGCTGCCACATCGTGGCCCCCTTGGATACGATGGACGGGCGCATCCGTGCGATCAAGGAGGCCTTGCTTGCGAATGAACTGGGCAATAAGGTGGGTGTGAGGGGCCGGTGGGGCCCCGAGCAAGCGCGGCCAGGCCTCGCAGAGGGACCCGTTTCCTTTCGCAGATCCAAGCGTCCAGGCGAGCCGCTGAGACGTGCGGATCCGGGCCCTGAGGCCAGGAGCCGGGCCGTTTTCCGAGGCTCCGAGGCTCCAGCTGTCCGGGCTCTGAGCAGCTGCGGGGGGCTGAGGGAGCCGGCGGGAGCGAGTCTGGCCCGGGGAGATGCGGCGTGTGACGGCCGCCCTCTTGTCTCCGCAGGTGTCAGTCCTGAGCTACAGTGCCAAATTTGCGTCCTGCTTTTTACGGCCCTTTCAGGTGAGGGGAGCCGGGGCCGTTTCTGCCCGCCTGCTGGGCCGGGGGAGGGATCCCCGTGGCCAAAGGCGCAGCGGCCTCCCCCCCGGCCCCGGCTCTTTCCTGCGGCTGGGACAAGGGAAGGGCCGGCCGGCTGAGTTCTGAGGCTGCCGTCAAGGCCTCGGCGGGGCCCCTTTGGCATCTGGGGGGCGAAGGGAAGACAGCTCCGTTTC